CACGGCGAACTCGACGATTCTGTCGTCACCCACACGAAAACACACCCGTGCGCTTCGTCGTGTTCGCATGCCACATCACCAGTGTGCATCGACCCACCGACCCTTGGGCGGCACATGGGCAGACGACCCCGTCGCCCACTCGGTCTTCCCGACGCATCCGCTTGGATGGGGGTTGTCGCGCGGCACGGAACGGTCAGCGTCCATGCCCAGCGCGTTCTGTTCGAGCGACGGATATGACCTGCGAAATGGACGTTCCTTCGCCGAGACGGCGGCGCGGACTCCGTTTGCCATGTCTTGAGCTCCATGTGTCCAACAACGAAACAGCACGCGCCGACAGCTATGTGAGACCCGCTGTGAAACGACGACGGTGCGTCGGTGTGACCTCTTGGTCGTCCTTGGACTCCGGGTTCGGCCTCGAACGGGGGTGACGAGGATGCCCTTCCCGATGGACGACCGTAGATGATGGACACGTTGTCATGTTTACCAGAACGTGGTTCAATGAACGGGTGCGTATCCATCGACGGGCTCGTGTGTCGCAGGAATGTCTCGACGACGTTTGGCATCTCTTTCCACCTAGGCAATCATGGTGCTGGGAAGGGCTGCTCTGCAGCAGTCGGAGTCGACGTCCTTTGTCGGATTCGGCCACGCCATGCAACCGCAACATAATTCCATCCCGTGCTAGGAACTACCGATCGCTCCATCGCCAAACGCAGAACCGCCCGCGACAACGTAGAGGAGTCGAGTCGACCGTCGTTAGTTCATCGGTTAGGATGGACACAATCGATGGCACTAGTCGACGACGACGCCGTTAGACAATCCCAGAGGCAGACTCCTGGCGATGGAGCCTTCGAATTCGGCCAAGCCGATACGCAACGGCGAGGGCGGTCGGGCGGTCGACGGGGTCTAGAGCGAGGCATTCCTTGGCAAGCTCGAGCAACGCCGGCGGAAACCGAGTCGAGAAGGTCGGCTGGATCGTGCCTTGCATGACGCGGCCCATGATGGCCGTGTCGTTGAGCGGGTTCCCTTTCGCCGTGACTTGGTCGCTGTACGGGACAATGTGCATGTCGAGCTCGGACAAGATCACGCCGAGCGAGTAGATGTCGGCCGCTTGCCTAACGACGAGAAATCAATTCGACTCGCCCATCCTCGAGGCGGCAGTGCGACCACAAGCGCCGCACCCACCAGCACGAGCGGCCATAAAATACATACGTGTAGTGGCTTTCGCTAAGGATCTCTGGCGCCATCCACCGGTACGTCCCGATGCCGATCGTCATGGTTTCCGACGTCGATTCGCGTGACACACCAAAGTCCGTCAGCTTGATGCCTTTCTGGCTGTCCAAGAGGACGTTGCGCGACTTGATGTCGCGGTGGATGATCGTGGTGTCGAGGGTGTGCAAGTAGACGAGCCCTTCGGCTACGCTCAGCGCGCAGTCGAGTTTGTCTTCGAGCGGGAACGTCGCGGGCGTGGTCGATTCCAGTTTACTGCGGAGGTCGCCTTGGTCCATGTATTCCAAGACGAGCATCATCTCGGCCTTGCGGAACCACGCAACTCCGATGAACTTGACGATGAGCTTCGAGTCCAACCTACACATTACACGTCATCCAACGTCCAACCCGAGAAAAACGGACTTGGCCATGAGTAAAATCTCGGCCACAAACGTTTTCATGGCGTCCGGCGACGACTGGCTCGCCAGCAGCTTCTTCACGGCCACGGGCGTGCCGCGGTATTCGCCCTTCCACACTTCACCAAACGCGCCTGGGCCGCGACTGAGCCATCCAGTCCATCCACACGGTCGTCGTACCACGAGAGAGCATGTGCCGTGCCACGACTTGGTTTTCATCCAGCCGCCAGAGCTGGAGCGTCTCTTCGTCAGCGCGCGAAATGCCGGTCGCCGACCCAGTGCTAAATGCGTTTCCAAACGTGCTGCCTCCCCCGGGCACGGACGACGTGTCCACGGCTCCGCCCCCACTGGAATACAACCATGGAGCTCCTGTAGACGAGTGCGTGGTGTCGGCAGTCCCAGTATTTGTCGGGCGGCGGCCACCACGCGTTGACTTTGTGTCGTTCGAGCGGCCGAGAACGCCGTCAAGCGGAGAGTACCCCCCCGTCGAGTTGACGGGGTACGGCGATTGCAAGTGGTGGGGAGGGTAAGGCGGGTAGTAGCGGGGATGCTTGTGACGGTAGATCAGGAGGGCTGCGATCACGATCACAACGAGCACGCCTCCGCCGATCGCGACAATGTACACAACCGAGTGGTTGTCAACGTCTTGCGTCGGGAGAGGGGCGAGGGTGGCGGCGGTCGGCGGCGCCACCGCCGCCAAAATGGAAATACGACGATACGCAGCAAAGTCGTAGCGAAAGGTGGCGTTCGGACCTAGTGCGTCGGTCATAACATCACGCATGAAGCCACCACCGTCTTGGGTCGAACGATCGTGTCGACCCGCTCGAATCGGGACGTCGGTCGAGCCACAGATAACAAGACACATGCAGGTGCACACCATCGACCGTTGGCTTCAAGTCGTCGTACCTGGCAGAGCCAAATGGGCGAGAACGTACATGTCGCCACTAGTTGGGAACGCCAAGTCGCTGTACACAAACGTGGCTTCGCTTGTCCCGGGGGTAAAGTTGCCCGGTTGGTTGGGCGTGTGGTCGCGAACGATTTCGGCATCGACGAACGCGTCGCAGACGCTGGCCGAGCTGTACTTGCACGCGTGGATGTTGGAGTGGACGATTTGCACCAACTGGCCAGTCACTGGCTCCATGATCGTCGGGATCGGCAGCTTGTAGCCTATGCGTCGTCGGCGGCCGCGCGTGAATGTCCATGCTCGTCCTGCGGGACACACGAGGCATGGGCGTACCAATCGTGTTGCCCTCGATCGTCGCCGCCGAGTACGAAAAGGTCCACGTAACACTCATCTTTTCGTTCACCCTACAAGGAATGGACGGGTGTGTCAGCGCTCGACGACGCGTCGGTCGGTCGTACAAAGCAGCTGACGGCAGCGAGAAGCGCACTCTGAACGGACACCCCACGCCTTCTGCATCCTTGACCAGGTTCGACTCACTCGGCTGCTTGACAGTCGGGTCCTCCGCGATGGCCCAGCACCGCGTCGTCGAGCCGTCCGTTTGCGGCACTACAACGATTGCGGGTTACGCCGCCTGAACGACGCGATCCAAAACCAGCTTACATGAGCCAAACGCTTCCGACACGTCGACCAAACAGAGTGCGGCGCCAACGACCCACCACGCGGCGCGGCGACGCATCATCTTCATCTTGGGTGCAGGCAGTAGAAAACTGGACGAGCCCAACGGAGCAGCGGGTCGGGCCAGTTGGCACCCGCATAGGTGGTTGCGAAAAACTCGCCACCCGTTGCAACTTCGATTTTCCCCTTCCATGTCGAATTTTCCCGCACCGACAGCCGCGTCGCACACCATTCGCGGGATTCGCCCTCGCGCCTATCGACATTCTGCTCGTCCAAGAGCTGGAGTGTGCCCTTGACGGCCACAGCGACGTCCGTCAGCTGGGGCGTGGCGTCCTGAGTCGTGACCACGTGGTGGATGTCTCGGTGACACGTCCAACATACCGTGGACACCACAACAAACGTCCAGAACCCGTCGGCCGCGGCGCGCGTGCAAGCGCACGACGCAGGGCGGACGCCCTAGCGTCGATAGACGGCGGCGGCTTGCGTCGCGTGAGCCATGCATGCATCGTTCGTTTCGACGGGTGATGGCAGGCGGACGTTGGGACATGCGAAAGCTGTCGCGGGTTCCTTTTTTTTCGTCGCCATCTCTCGCGGACATGGCGTAGGACGTCGTTCTAGTTGCAATACGGTTCGACGATCTTCGTGTGGCCCGACGGCGCGACCACGCGCTGCCGCGACGGCCCAACATTACCCAGATGACCGACTACAAACGCGAGCCAGCACACAGGCGAGCGCGTTGCACAGACGGCTGCCGCGGTGATCCATCCACGGCCAGCCACCCTCCCTCGATATGAAATTCAGCCACAACCCGGCGTAAGTTGTCCTGCTTGGCGCCTCGGGCGCATGCCTGTCCTTGGCAGTTAAAAGTGACTTTATTGGGCATGCCTGTCCTTGGCCCTCCTCTCACCCACGAGCGGCGTGCACTTTCCAGCGAAGGTGTCCCACTCCCGTTCCCGCCGCGGAGCCAGCCCGACCGAGTCCGACGCTGCACGGCAACGTGTTGCTTTGGTGGTCTGAGCTACAACGGCCGTGCGTGAAGGACTCGACGCACGCGCTCGCTCCAGTCTGCGATGGTGTTTTAATGAAAATGACGTGGGGCCGCTGCCACCGCGACGGTGGCGACCTCTTGCACCGCCGTTTGAACCAACACGTATACGTTGTCGTACGCGGTCCGTGCACCGGGGAGCAGCACTGTCGAGCGAAGATGGCACGTCATGTCGAGGGCAGCGCCAACGTGGCCCGCCACTCTATGCAGCATGAAAACGTGGCCAAAATGCCGACAACCACAGACGAAGCCAGGGCAGCACGAAAGCCATCGCCTGTATCAATACTATGGAGCGCACAGGGACTCGTCGCCCACACCGTGAGTGGTTGAAAAGGCGGTGAAGGGCCAGGTGAGTGGTCAGACACCGAGCGGCTGCGGCGGAGATCCCCCGTTGTGGACGCGCCAAACACGAGCTCGATGGGTTGCGCGGCATCAACTCGACGTTCGAGGTCACAGCGCGGCCGCAGTGCTGTGCTCGGTCCGTGGCGCCCAGCAGGTGCCACGACTCGTGTGGTTGCCGTCGGTGGTCGTCCGTTGGAATGGTTAGCTTCGGAATCCAATGGCCTGGGTTGCGTACCTTGAAACAAAATACTCTTTATAAAATGGTTCGATTTCACGTTAAGGTAGACTCGATTTGCATTGTAAATGTGGATAGTCGTCGACAGTTGATAAATACTCTCGACATTTTATTTGTGTTTAATGTCGTGCAAACCTCCGACGGCGTTGACACCCTTTGCCTTTGGGTTAGGAGCGATTGGGGGCGTGGCTCGCACGACGATGCGTTCTTCGTTCTCCCACACAGCCAGCAATGCCTCGACTCACGTCTGAGTTCTTCCGTGAGATCACACGTTTTGTCCGCATGCGAGCGAATACGCATGGTACCGCGAGACACGAACGTGTCTCTCGAGAAACTCGTCGCACGCATGTTTCGCCCGTGCGACACAACAAAGCAACAGGTGTTGCAGAGCCAATGACGCAGCTGGTACGTCATGTAGTTGACGCCTGCACGTTGTTAAGTGCCAGCGACGTTTTGAAAAGGAATAACATACTTTGCGTGTGATTTTTTTATGGCGAGCCATGGGTTCGTCCACGGTGAACATTTCAAAGTTTGTATGTGAATGACATTTTCCAAACATCAGAAAACGCTGAAATACCTCGAAAAAATGCAAGAAAACTGAGTTCTTGTCAAAACAAACAGTCCTCCCACAACAAATATTTTCCCCGAATCGAGCGATGGTCGTACTACGTTGGAAAAACAGATGCAAGCAAAACTCCCCCAGCACTTCGCGACAGGACTGAGATATGACTGCCCGTATGATCAAGCCATTGCGTTGGTTAAAGCCGACCGTCCCGTCCCCAAGGTGGCCAGGCTCGGCAGTGAGAGATACTCTGTCAAATCGGGTGTTCAACGTAGGTGTCCAGGTCGGTCGAATGCTCGGTTACAGCGAGAGAACTGTCGAGATGGGGTGGCGTAGGTACATGCTAGAAAAAAGCAAGGTGTTGCGGCACCACTTCCCCTGCGACGTCGTCGTTCGCGCTGTGTCCGCGATGGCGCGAGTAGGTTTTTTACACTTTTGTTTTGAAAGGGATTTTTCCAAGATGTCTCAATTCCGTTGGAGGCCCCAAGAATGGTTTTAATCCGGTTTAAATGTCAATATTCCTATGGTCGAAATATCCAGATAGTCGTTGTGTCTCGAGGACAGTCTAGTCAAGTTTTCAATGGACGTCGAGCCCTGTGACTCCTGGGACGACAGCCGAGCGCAAACAATGCCGTGCAATGGACTGAGTTCGCGAACTAGAGAAGAATGCAGACTCATTGCGCTTCAGAATGCTGACCAATGGCACTCAAGTACTGGCTGATCGACGGCCAGAGGTACGGCAGATCGCCTTCAGGTTCAGCTTTGGGGGGGGCGTCGAATGCCGCCTTTCGGGGAACTTCTCTTCCATTGGCTTTCTATATTCAAAGCTTCGGAACCGCCTGACCCCAAAGAGCACGGACATGCTTGCTCCTATCAAAAGCAAGTTGCCAGCGTTCAGCGACTGCGCCCTGCACGACGAGGGCCATCGGGCATCGAGATCCTCCAGAGTTCAGCTGTGTCGGATAGATAGGCGATTTTTTTATATCCTGTTGACACTGTGAATACATTTTTCAAGAGAAACGACCTAGGTGGAATTTCGAAGGTAAATACCGTATAGGAGATGAAACAGAGAACTGTCGTTTCCATGACGTGGCAATAAAAATTTCCACCTGCATTTTCTAGCACGACTTGACCATCACATTCTTCCCACACGAACAACGGTCGAGACTCATCATCATGCGCTCGGGGTAGAGCAACTTCCTTGTTAGAGCCATGCTACCGCTCCCTTCGAATTCAACACGGTCGGGGATTGAGGTGGACCAGAATAGTACAGTGAACCCCGGGAAATGCAAAAAAGCCGACCACCTCCAAAACATGATCTGTTTAACTAGCAAATAAATACTACAGCCTGTGTATTTCAATATCACTTCATAATTATAATTCTTTTAGACCAATTGTGGTGCAGATAAAAGAATAACTGTGATTGACTGAATGAAATTGTATTAGTTATAGCCAATCAATTGGACTAACTCATGTAATTTAAATGGATTGATTTTATTCTTCCTCCATGCATTTTCAGGATGACACCATGTCGGCTTTTTCCTAGGTTCACGATATACTAGTAGTACAGTAGTCCCCCAAGGTTTGCGAACTGGTATAAATTAATACCTTGCTCAACTTAATCAATAACTGCATCCAATGGTCTCTTAAAATGAAGTCTTGTTAGTTCTTTGTTTCTTTAATTGCCTTCAGAAACGTATATTCTTGAAGTGTTGCAAAACTTGGGGGATCACTGTATACTGTAGAACCTAAACGTTCTATTCTCACAAATTGAGGTTCTATTATATATTACATATATTGTGCTATTCACATAAAATTTCCAAAACTTCGGAGTAAATCGATTCTTTCAAATCGATTTGAAATGGTTTTGGACGTCCCTTATGTGTTCATTAAAACGCTACTAGTAGTAAGAGCTAATAGACTCCTAGTAATCTTGAAACCTCGTAG